CTGACAAAGCAGGGCAAGTGCTCTTTTAAATCCCACAGAACACCTGCGAAACTGACAAAGCAGGGCAAGTGCTCTTTAAATCTCATAGAACATCTGCGAAACTGACAAAGCAGGGCAATAGTTTTCGAATCACACACAAAACAAAATCACATCACATAGGCTAAAATTTTTTTTAAAAAAAAAAGGAAAAGATTTACTTCAAATATTTCCATGAATTTTTTTGCCCTTTTTTTCTCAACGCTGTTTCCAAATGTGAGAAAATGTTTCAACAATCTTTTGTACTTAGAGTTGGTGGTGCATTTATCTTGTCCCTTTTCTATTTGGAATACTATAAAACTCGACAAACTCCAATCCTTGGTATTTTTAAAGTAATCTAAGCAAGTTTGATCTTGAGACATATTTCTAAACAATTTTATAGGTATTGTGATAGTTTTATTGTATTGAGAAAAGTTTTGAATCAAATGATCTTTTTTATGAATTGAATTTTAGATTTTTTTTTACGCCCAGGCTTGTGATTGGTTTATTTTATAAAAATAATGATCATTACTAAAAGTAAAAAAAAATATCAGTCACAGGACATATCACGCAGATCAATAGGGAGTTGTAAAACATATATATATAGTAAATTTTTGATGATCTGCATCATAGTAAAATTCGAATTTACATAGTAAAATTTTACAATCAAGTGACTTCTAATCCCCATTTAATACCCTTGCTGTGTAGCAACCACCGCCAAATTTGAAATATAACTTCTTTATCATATGTACCTGCATTAAGAAAATTTTTAAAGCAGGTTGTTAATAAAACCGAAAATAATCTGACCCTCAAAGTCAAATTTTGCCTTTATATTCATATATCTAAAATTTTGTTTGACACGTCCAATTGCAAGTATAAGTAGAAATAAATGTCCAAATATTACATTATTATGAATATTTGTAGATTTTTGATCACTTAGGTATGTTTTTATAGTATAAAATCATTTATTTTAAAAGTAATATAATAAATAAATAGACAGTAAAGTTTTTCTTTACCTACAGTATATACATAAATAATAATTATAATAATAAACAAGCAACAATAATGATTAAATTAAAAGGTGTTTTATCTCTGACTTTACTCATTTAATTATTTGTCATATGATGTTATTAAATATAAGTTAAAATAAAAGAAATTTATAAATAACTATTGAATAATTAATAAAACGTTCGTTAGAATATTTTGTTCATAGATCTTGTCCTTAAAGCTTACTTTGATTACTCCTACACAAATTGATAAACGTTCATTAGAATATTTTGTTCATAGATCTTATATAAACTATTGAATAATTAATAAACGCTTGTTAGTATATTTGTTCATATATCTTGTCCTTAATGCTTACTTCAATCACTCCTATACAAACTATTGAATAATTAATAAAATGTTTGTTATTATATTTTGTTCATATATCTTGTCCTTAAAGCTTACTTCGATTACTCCTACATAAACTATTGAATAATTAATAAAACGTTCGTTAGAATATTTTGTTCATAGATCTTATATAAACTATTGCACAATTAATAAACGCTTGCTAGTATATTTGTTCATAGATATTGTCCTTAATGCTTACTTTGATCACTCCTATACAAACTATCGAATAATTAATAAAATGTTTGTTATTATATTTTATTCATAGATCTTGTCCTTAATGCTTACTTCAATTACTCCATTTGTTATTATATTTTGTTCATAGATCTTGTCCTTAATGCTTACTTCAATCACTCCATTTGTTATTATATTTTATTCATAGATCTTGTCCTTAATGCTTACTTCAATCACTCCTACACAAACTATTGAATAATTAATAAAACGTTCATTATTATATTTTATTCATAGATCTTGTTGTCCTTAATGCTTACTTCGATCACTCCTACACAAACTGGATCTTAATCTTTATTATCATCCTCAAAAAACAATGATTCGTTATCGTCGTTTGCTATTTATTGCTACTAATATTATTGTTTAATGTTGCTATAACAACTACTGATTGATAGATATTCATAATAATCACTAATGAAACTTTAATCAATATAAAGTCAGAAATATAAAACAATCTAATAAAATACCTTTTAGTTTTTGCTGAATCCCATCTACAAAAATTCTTCATGACTATTAAATTTCTATAAAATAGCTTTTTGTGAACCTCTCTAAAACTTATTAACCAATACCCCCCCATAAAGTAATAACCATATGAAAGCTTAAAGTATTCTACACCTTCTCATTTACTATCAAGTCTTTGAAAGCAATATTGAGAAATAATCTGAGCTTTGAAGTGAAAAAGTAATACCGTTTTTGAATAGCTGTGAATTCATGTAGAGAAGACCTTTTGATATGAAAGAGTGTTCATTAGAAAGCTTTAATGGAGTATTTTCATTTTACTCTAACAACGAAGTTCGAGTTTATTATAAAAATAACGAGATATTTTAAAAAAACTTCATGTGACACGAATTTTGAATTTATTTTCACATATAGAAAATCAATTGATGTGACATGTCCTGTGACTAATAATCGGTAAATCACGGTTTAGATGATTGCTGAAATTTCAAAATAACATAATAAAGCTACATAACTTTAAACCATTATAACTTTTTTTTTTTACTAAATAACTCAAAAAAAACTTTCTATTACATTATTTTTCATGTCCAGAAGATTGCAAAAATAGAGAGTTTTTGGTAAAAAATGATATTAAAGGAGTTGCAAAAAAAAATCAAAGTTGCTGATGCAGAATTAATAGCCAATTACCCAGATATTGGTCCCAATGAAGCTGAATTACTTCAGCAGATTCCTATGTGTTCATTTGCTGATAATATGATTCTTCAATGATATTATTTATGGAGAACATATGCTTCGGGTGATATTGGAGGTAAAGATGACATTCAAGATTGGGGTATGGATCATGCTGACTGGACAATACTCTGTGATATAGATTTCGTAAAAAATTTAATAGTCCTGAACCTTTACAACATTTTAGAAGACTTGCTTATTTCTGAAGACAAGGTTCTAATGCGATTAAAGCCATAGAAAATCTGAAAATCAAAGCTATGCAATGAGAAGAATTACATAATGATATCTTAAAATTTCTGAAAAACACATATGTGAGATATGATATAATTTAGGGCCTGTGTAAATTCGAGTTTAACTTAATGTACTGGTACTTATTATTGTATTTGCCATAGATTGAGAGTGGATATATTAGTGTTCAAGGTCTGAAGATGTTAAAAGTATTTAATGTGGAGAAGGAGTTACCCCCAGATCATAGCCAAGAGAAAATAGAAGAGAATATTAATGAATTAAAAATTTGCTAAAGGTAAATATTAGATAATTTGAACCATTTTTTTTTTTATGAAAATTAACAAGGTTGCATATTTAGCACCCTGCATCAGAGGCAGACACAAATCTTTATGGGGCACTCAAACAAACTTTTGAGAACATTGATCTTTCAAGTCTTATGTGGGAGGATCCTGAAGCAAGTATGGTCCTTAGTGATAATTCAGACATTGTGAAGAATTTGGAGTGTAGGCAAAAGAGTACTTTTTTAGGACCTTGGGAAAATATGAAATGCATTATACCAGGTTCAGTTGTGGCAAAGTGTATGAATTTGTGAACAATTTTAACAATTTGAATGCTTCACTGGTTATGGGAATATCTTTCATAATAAAAATCAGAAAGAAACTGAGAGTGAGCTGATAAAAATAACTGATTGCATTCTTGGTACACTGTAAGTAATTTCCGTACATAAACAATTGGCATTACTAGTATCTCTGCATATTCTAATGCACTTTTATTAGTTGTGAGATATGGAACAACCCTGCATTTACAACCAGTGCATCTCACAGTGAGCAGAGTGAGGAAACATATATAACAGACGTTATAATTCCTTTGCTTCAATCAAGTTTAGGGGGCCTTCCCAATGGCTGTATATGCTTAAGTACATCAGAATACCAAAGTTTGGCAAGTACATCTCAATGAAATGTAGGAATGGATAAGAAACATATGGGGAAAAACCTGATATTATGGGGTTGCTGAAACAAAACAAAAAAAATATAGAGTTGATGTATGCTGAGTCCTCACACATCATCTGCAGTAATTCGAAAAAAGCTGATGATGAAGTGAAATTATGGAGAGAAACATTAGATGGGGCAAGTTTTATAGATTTATCATGCAGACCAGCTAGTAATCAATTTGGAGTTGTAGGGATTCAAGTTTCCGGTACAGTCATGCAATTAAATATACTTGTAAAGGATCTGGCTGGCATACCACCTTGATCATGCCAAAATCCCACTATCACCATATACATTGCACACTAAATCTCTTGTTCGTTTATTATCAACCTTAAGAGACATTATGATTGTGAATAAAAGCTTACTAATGCATGCATTAGAACAAGCTAGATCACATCCACCATGAAATCCAAAATTAAGTGCTGTAGTTACTTCACTAATACACTTTCTACAAAAGTTCATTATATTTTATTTTTAACATACAGATCAAATAAAGTACACTTTTTCTTATTTCTCATTTCAAAAAAGCTAATGATATATCCATATGAAAAAATAAACCAATTAATTCCTATACATATCAAGAATTCCCAACACAATATTATTTATCTCTAGATATCTACATACCTCTTCATAATCAAATACTGTCTTCATATCTTGAGTGTTCCTATTTATGGCAATTATATCTTCATCCATGATATTTAATTTAAAAATTAATAGTAGTGTTACAGGCTCCCCTGAATATAATTATATCACTTAATAATAAATCTCAATAATAGCATTAGTAAATATCACATCAATTATCATGTTCAGGGGCCCTGGGGTGACCCATATGCATGTGAATAAGAAATTCAGTCAGTTGATCAATTTGTATTACATGCATTGCATTCCAAATTCATCAAAAAAAACTGTTGCTTTTTTGAACATGTCTTCATCAACTGAAGAATTTTATAAATTTGTGGAAAACTGGGACACAGAAACTCTCATAACTTTTTTAAAGCATCAAGATCTGAACCTTGAAGAAAGATATTTAGAATTTCTTCATAAGCAAGAAATTAATGGACGAGCCTTTCTTCTCTTGACTGAGGAAAAGCTTTTAGGCCCTCCTTGTAACTTTGCTGGTGGTCCTGCTTTAATTCTTGCAGAGCAGATTAAGATATTAAAAGATAGTAAGAAGAGGGCATTTTCATCTTTCAAGACCCAGAATGATTTGAAAGAAGTTTTAAAAAATCATGGAATCGTTGATGGATACAGTATTATTAACATCCCACAATTTGAACCAGGTAAGCATTTCTTGATAAAGTCTAGCGAAATCAGATGAGTATGCTCACTATGCATTTATTCATTCTACAGTCAAGCCTCGTTTCAACGAATCTCTGGGGATGGTCATTAAAATTCATTGAAACAAAAGTTCGTTGAAACAAAATTTTAACTATTTAGTAATGATCGACACACATAATAAAAAAAAAATTTTTATTTGAAATAACCAGTAATACATGTTTGTTTTTGGTTTCTAACATGATATAATGTCACTTTTCTTTTTAATGATTTAAAAGCTTTTAATTCATTATAATCTATTTCTAAATTGTTCTGTTCAAGAAAATTATAAACAGTTTCAAAAGCGTTGACTGCATCTTTTGTTGTGATATTGGGAATATTTGTATCATGTTCCGTAACTTCTTCCTCTTCTTCAACTTGTGTAAGAGAGTTAATAATCTCTTCCTCAGTTACCATTTCACTATTAGTTGACTTATCATCAATTGATACATATTCCTGTGCAGTCAATGGTGAACTGAAAGGAAATTTATTTATTAAATCTTCAATATCACTTTCTAAATTAATTACATCCTCAACTTCTTCTGCTACATTGTCTGACAATGGAAGAATGCCAGTTTTCCTCCAGCAATTATTAATGGTAGTTGAGGTAACATTATCCCAAGCTTCTGCAACAGATTTTATAGCTTTTTTAATATCAAATTCTTTGGGTTTTTTACCCTCTTGTTTCTTGTCATAAATTTTAATCTTTTTTTTCAATAATAATTTTCGATAATTAGCCTGTAAATTGGTATAAAGGTAAGTCAAAATATAACTTTTTAATCAATTTATATCAAAATATTTATTTACAAACAAACCTTAAAAGAATGTATTATCCCAGCATCACATGGTTGTAGAAATGTGGTTGTGTTTAGAGGCAAATAATGCACATTTACATTTGTTAACTGCACATTATCCAATAAATTATGGGTTGGTGCATTGTCAACAAGCAATAATATGTTTCTATTGGCAATCTTCATTTTATTATCTAATTTTTTTAAATAGTCATTCCATATGGAGACTTGCATCCATGCTTTGCTATTCCAATAATATTCAACTGGTAAAGACTTTTTGTTAATATTTTTTAGTGGTCGCTGGTTGTAGAAATGCAATTGTGTTTGGAGGCAAATAATGCACATTTACATTCATCAACTGCACATTATCCATTAAATTATGGGTTGGTGCATTGTCAACAAGCAATAATATGTTTCTATTGGCAATCTTCATTTTATTATCTAATTTTTTTAAATAGTCATTCCATATGGAGACTTGCATCCATGCTTTGCTATTCCAATAATATTCAACTGGTAAAGACTTTTTGTTAATATTTTTTAGTGGTCGCGGATTCTCATATTTATGGATAAATAATGGCATTAACTTTTCACTACCAGTTGAATTATAAGTTAATAATATTGTTACTCTATATTTTGTTTTGTACCTGAGATAGGGCCTGTAGATAATCCATGAGATGGTTCCATTTTCCAGAAAAGACCAGTTTCATCACAATTAAAAATATCCTCTGCATGATACTCTTTAAGGATATTTTTTAAGTCTTCTCTCATTATCGGAATTTGTGTAATGGGTGCACTTTGAGATTCTCCATGTTTGTTATATTCCTGAATTGAATATCTCTGCTTAAAATTATGAAGCCAACCAGATGATGCTTTGAAGCTATTATTCCCCAATAATTCCAAAAATTTTAAAGCTTTTTCTTGAATGATAGAACTTGTAATAGTTAAATTGCATTCAATTGCTTTCTCAATCCATAAAATTAAAGCCTCTTCAATATTTACAACAGGAGAAGCATGTGGTTTTTTTAATTTTGCTTCATAAGAGTTTGGATCAATTTTGAGCCATTTATCAGATGTTCTCAATATATCAGTAACTTGGCCTGAACTAATTCCATATTTATCCGCCAGTTCAATATTTTTTGGTTGAGGTTTAGCTTTTTTTAATAAACAAATTTTGCGTTTTTGCTCTGCAGTGATATATACTCATTTTTTAGAAGAAGATTGAGACATTTTATCAATGATATCAAAAATTATTTATTTGGTTATTAATTATGTGAAATCAGAAGCAATTATTTATTTGTTATTAATTTGTAGGAATTATTAATTTTAAAAGACCCAATAAAAGAAAATTTTGCTTTTATTTATACATTTTAGAAATACTCAAATGTTTGATTAAAACAATAGTAAGAATATTTTATTTGAATGTTCTTTATTTTCTTTAATTTGGGTTTGGAGAATTATCACTATTTGTGTAAAATCATTATTTAGTAAAATGGATTTTATTTTGTTTGATTAATTAGTATTTAATCATGCGATGAAAATTTTAGATAATAATTTATTAGTAAATTGGTTTTTTTAATAATAAAGTGAATTTTTCTTTATTGTTTTTTTTTCCTAGAAATTTGGATTTTGAAGAATTGTCACGCATAAAAACTATTCATATAAAATCATTATTTAGTAAAATGGATTTTTGCTATAGTTATTATAGTAATTTGGAAAATCGGGGAAAATCACATATGCTGCATATCACGTGAATTCGTTGTAACGCGATTAATACTTATATAAAAATTCCACCAAAAAAATTCATTGTCGTTGTAACACGATATATATATAAAAATTCGTTGAAACAAAAATTTTTAATTAATAAAAAAAGGGGGACAAGACCAAAATTCGTTGAAACAAAAATTTGTTGAAATAAGATTCGTTGAAACGAGGCTTGACTGTATATATATTTTTTTTTTTTTTTGCTAAAGTGAGGCCTTGAAATCACGTTTATTTATTTAAAATTTAATGCATTATTAAAAATTTACAAATTTTTACACGTAATCCTACCCCAATTAACCTATTGTTAATTTAAAGCTAACCTGCCACCTTTAAAAAAAAAATTAATTAGACATATTTGAATAAATTTATCTAAAAAATTCTACAAAAGATAGCATGCTAAAGGCAAAAATTTTCCCACTTAGCACCAAAAATTATGAAATTCTGACACCACTCTTCCCATTTGTCAGAATGTATAGCATTCTGAGAATTGGATGAAGTGGCTTGAGAACATTTTTCTGTGTAATTTTTCTTTTTTTTAACTGTTATCCCAATTGAATGTTCCCATTCAATGATTTCCTCACACCTAGGCTTCCAAATTTTTTCAAAGAAAGCTTCCTGGACTATATTTAACAAATCCAGAGCTGCTTTCCTCCCCTTGGATTTTGAGTTTATGATACATGTAAAACTATGTATTATGCTTCTTGAAATTAAGCCTCTTGTGAAATTTTTCATAAAAAGTATACAAGATGTAGGGTTGTTGAAATAAGGAAATATTTCACACATTATTGTTTGTCTATCTATATGATTGATATTATTATTGTTATGGTTATGGTTATTATCCAAAAGTGATTGAATGAATTCAATTATTTTTTTGTTAATTGTTTTAACTGCATCTTTTGAATTCTTGCAGTACCATAAATGATCATAATCTTCTGGAGCTAAATTACACCTAGGACAATTTGTAAAATTCCCATATAAATCAGATCTACGTTTCTTTAAAATTTCTAATACTGGTAGTTCATTATGTAATAGTTTGATTTTGAAGGCTTTCCATCTACTGTCTTTGAAAGATGTAGAGGAAGGGAAACTGGTTCTTAAAGATAACCATGTGCACCTCCACTCTATTTTTTGTATTTCTTCCTCAGTGAAAAATGGTTGAAACCGATTTAGAGATATCCAAGAATTTAATCGCTTTGCTTTGCATATTTGTTTGATGAAATTTCTACAATGGTAATCTATTAGAAACTCCTTCCAATATAATGTAACATATTTTTTAGTTATGTTATTGATATTTATTTTTGTGATTTGATTATTGCTACATCCCAATTTGGCTAGTGAGTCAGCTGTGTCATTGAGAGGATATTTATTGGAGTGAGCTTTAACTTTTGTTAAATTTACTATTAAATTATATTTTTCCATTGTTGAATAAATGATTTCCCATAAAGAAAAATTATTAATTTTAAGGTAGGATCTAATGGTTTTTGATTTTTGTTTCCAATTGTTAAAACCATCAATAGTAGCTTGTGAATCTAAGTATATATTTATAATACTATTTGCTGGACATGTTAGAATTGCTGTAAGTAGAGAAAAGATTTCTGCACGTGTTGATGATGGCCATTGTGACAGCGCACCTGAAAAAGAGTTAGTAATTTTTTTATTCTTATCAACTTGGATCCAACCATAACCTAATTTAATATCAGGAGAGCTAGGATTTTTTAGGGATCCATCAGTCCAAAATTCTAATTGATTAATGCAATTATTTATCATGTGAATATTGAATAATTGTAATGATATTGGTTCATTTATAATATTCTTTATCCATGTTAGTCTGTTATCTTCAATATATATTGTTGGACATATTGGAATAATAATAATATTATTATTATTGAATTTATCAAAGTTGTATTCTAAAGCCTTTATGATTTCACATCTAGGAAATGTTATGGTGATGATATTGGATCCAGAAGAAATACATTTCTTGGCTGGTATGACAATACATTCTTTCTGTGGTTTATTGTATAAACAACCAATTCTATTTGGATTATTTATAAGGTTGTTTAGTTCACATCCTTTACATTGACTTAGTTGAAAACTATCATGATTGTTTTCTAATATGTTGGTATTTGATTTCCAATGAGTGATGATAAGTTGATTGTTGTTTTTTGGTGAAGCTAGTTCATATGTCTTACCAAAAGTTATTTCTTCAAATTGGTAGGTTGCAATGAAAGGCCTGATTCTAGAGTCTTTTGGAAAATTAAGTGAATATTGTATAGGGAATGAGTTGCATCTAGGTAGTTTCCATTGATCTAGAACTTCACGAGATGAGTGATGTAGGATAGATTCTTCTAATGATGAAAACCATTTTGGTTTTCAACCACGTATATTAATTTTTAAACGTAAGACTGCTTGTTTCCAAGAAAGTAAATGTGTACCTTCACAACAGAGGATTTGATCAAGATATAATACTTGTTTTTTAGCCAGTGCATTTACAAATGATGTATATTTTTCAGCAAAAATATCTTGTAGTAAAATTTGTCCACCTTTAATTATGAAAGACTCAGAATCATATGTTGTTCTAAGTGAGAATTTGAAAAATTTTGCTATGCATAAGATGCCAGCCATAAGATTATTTTTAAATAAACGAAGATGAGAAACTGAATAATTCCAAGACTCCAATGGACTTTTAGGCAAACACAAATTGAGTTGTAATTGATGTAATTTGATTTTAGAAATTTTACCCATAATTCCATTGTCATTTAGGCGAACACACAGGTTGGTTATGTGATGTTGTACTTGACAATCCCATAAATCACAAAGATTATATATTGTATGTGTATTAGTAACTGCATTAGGAACAGTAGATGCAAGGCCAACCTTTTGTTTGAATAATTTTCTACATTTTGCTCCTAAAATTTTACATTCATTTTCAGACAGCAATGTAAGTTGTAGACGATATTCTAATCTAGGAATCATTACACAATTGAAAATATATAAGATTTGTTTATCAGTAAGGTGTTTATGTTTCATAATTGATTCCATATTGATAATTTCATCATGCACAGAATTTTTAACATGTCTAGTTGACCCTTTTGCATTAACCCATACACCTAGAAATCTAATAGATGTGTTGATTGGCTTTGCAAAAACCTCTGTACAATCTTTTCCAAAAATAATGGAAGTTGAAGGAATTGGTGTAGGTGAATTTATAACTAAAAGTTCTGATTTCTTTTTATTTACTTTAATGCCATTTAGATCATAGAATGAATCTGCAATTTCTAGAATTAGTTCCATATTATCTTTGGATGGTGCAAACCAAGTTGTGTCATCCATATATGCAAGACTTGATATTGTTTCAGAAAGTTTGGTGGTTTCATTATATCGAAGGTCTTGTTTCCATTCAACTTCTATTTGATATCCAAGTGATTTTTGATTTTGAATCTCGCAGAGTAAAGGATCATAGTATATACACCACATGAGAGGTGAAATTACTTCACCTTGATCAATGCCATTGTTGATAGTGTATTGATCAGTGAGTCCAAATTCTGTAACAACTCTATTTACTCTTTTGTTAAAAATGTTATGGATGAATTTGCAGAATGAATTAGGTAGTGCAATTCTTTTAAGAGCAAGTTGTAACATATCTCTATTAACCAGATCATATGCTTTGCTCATATCTTGAAATAAAACCCACATTTCTTTATTGTTCTCACGAGCATCTTCCATCAACATATTGAGAATATGTATTGGCTCATGTGTGGATTTTCCAGGAAGTCCTGCAAAGTTACATCCTTTTAAAATATTATGCTTCATTACTATTTCTGATATTCTATTATTTATAATTTTCACTAATGCTTTTCTTGGTGTCTCCAGTAATGTAATTGGTCGTGTATTATTCAATTGTAATTCCCAATCCAGTGGTTTTGGTATTGGATAAACAGTTGCCTCTCTCCATGCATCTGGTATGTCATTGATGGTAATACATTGATTTATTATTTTCAGAAGAAATTGTTGAGTTGTTTTTCCTATGTGCTTGAGCATTTCATTTGTAATGCCTGAAGGCCCACTTGCTTTTCCATTTGGGAGTGTATTTATAATAGAATACCATTCAACTAATGTTAAAGGGTTCATTAAATTTGAATACCATATGGGATCAATTTGTTTGATTGATTTATATTGATTAAACCATGGAGATGGTAATGTATTAGGTGTAGTATGATTATTATTTGAAATACTGCTAAAATGATTTTTAGTTGCTTTTTTAACATCATCAGGTAAGAGGAGAATTTCATCTTCACCATCTTTGTTAATTACGCAACGATTAATTCTAATAGATTGTTTTTCACGTTCTAAAATACTGTTAATCATGACTTTTTGATTTGATGTATAATGTTCACATCTTTTTTTCGTGAAAAATTTAATTTGCTTTTCAATTTCAATCTTGTCTTCTATTTTCTTCTGTGATTTAATGGTGTTGAAGATAGATATTAAATATTTATATGTTTGTTCATATACATTATCATATAAAGTATCAGGTAGGTTTTCTAAAGGTATTGAGTAATCTTGGTAATGTTCTTTTTTATATCATTCCACATGGTATTGCACTGATTTATATTTACAAGATTTTTGATTTGAAGAAATTGTTGAAGTAAACGACCAAATGATTTAAGGGATTTATGTAATATCAAAGTATCTTTGGATCTTTTATTACTATCTTTCCTGCTAATTTTATCAAATGGTATTTCTTTGTCAGCAGTTTGGATAATTATTTGCTGTAGTATGGTCCATGATCTATTTAACCAAGAACATGTAGGTTGAAAATTATTTATACACTGGTTATAATCCCAATGTCTTTCTAAATTCTTATCAGTAAGTGATGCAAAATTTTGCCATTTTTCATTTGTCATTTTCTCAAATTTATAAATTTTCTTTTTGTTGTCTAATTTACGTTCATTATTATCGGAACGATGTTTGTAGAAATTAGAAGTTATTAAATCACACCATATTAATTTATGGTCTGTTGAAAAAATTGATGTATAATCAACAGTTTTTGTGCGAGCAAGATCATGAGCAAAATTATGCGAAATCCAAATTTGATCTATACGTGATTTTGAGTTATTATTAGACCATGTGTATTGAGGTGAGTTTGGATTTGTGATTTTAAGACTGTCTATAAAATTTAAAGTTTGTAATGTTGAAATCAGATTATATGTGTAAGGTATAGTATGATTATTAATCTGCAAATTATGAAGAATTTCAGGGTCTGCATTGAAGTCACCCATTACAATTGTAAAAAAATTTTTGTTTAATGCCTCTTGACAATATTTAATTACTTGTTTTGAAGTTGTAATTCTTTCTTGTTTTTTGTTGGTATTAGAATTGATATAAACCTGAATAATTCGTAATTTTTTCTTTCCTTTAAAATATAAGTCAGCATATATTATGCGTCCTTGATATTTTTCAATTTTTACTATATGTCTAGCTAATGATTTTGAAATAAGAAGACCTACACCAGCTGAGTTAGGCTGGTCAGGGTGTGAGCTCCAAAAAGATTGAAATGTATTACATTTTCTCATACAATGTTTAGAGTTGTTACGGTTGAGTTTGGTTTCAGATATACCAATTATGTCCATTTGGTTATCTTTGCATAGTGTTTTGACTATAGTTTGTAGATGTGAGTCATTTATTCCTCGGATGTTTTGTGTTCCAATTCGAATAAGTTGTGATGTAAATATAGGAATATTATTTGTATGTGGATTTGAAATATTATTCATTGAATTTTCGTTATTATCATTATTAATATTAAATTGATTATTGTTTTTGTTGTTTATATTCATTATTAAATTATTTTAGATTTACGAGATGGTATAACCAATTGTTTAAAAACTTACATCATCCTCATCATTATTAGATTTATTAATGAATTTGGATGAAATATTGCCAATCATATTTTTGATGTCAGCCATGTCTTGAGAAAGATTTTTTGCATTTTTATTTAGTTCTTCCTGTTGTTTAACAATTAATTGACTTTCATCAGTGTTTTTGTTAATTTTGGTTGTTGAAGCTTGGCTTTCTTCAGATGAAGATGTAAATGATTCTCTAGATCTCTTGTGAGAATTAGAAATTCCAGGTTTGTATGTGGGTTTTTTCAAGATGGGAGTGCATACAGTTATATAAGGATCTGTATTTCCTTGTTTAGGTTTAGTACTGTCTTTATCCTCAAGTACTTTAATTCTGATATTGATTTCCTGAATATTCTGAGTAAGATGATTCAGTTTGGTTGATATATCTTCAACTTTTTCCATAAGTTTTTTTAAAACATCTTCTGTTTTGTTACCTATTTTTTCAGCATGAATGGAATCATCAAGAGATGTCCTAATACTGTTTTTTACAATGTCTGCAAATGATAATTCTTTTGATTTATTTGCAGGTGGGTGTGTTTGTGGTTTACAATGTTGAGCAGGTTTATATTTGTTGTACAAAGGTTGCAATTTGGATATATTGATTTTTTTTTGTTTTGCCCGTTGAATTTCCTGACAACCTGTAATAGTGTGATCAGGATGTCCACATTTTCTACAGAGTGCAGTATCTTCTGATGCCCAAAATAATTCAGTATTATTGAGAGTATACCAATTAATTTGTGCATCATGTGCTGCTTCATCAGAATCAAAGAAAAACCATCCATATCTACAGTTGACATATGATTTGCGTGTTTTAGGTATGAAAATTGCCTTTGCTTTTGTTGCATTGATTATTTCAACAAGATCTCTTGCTGTAGTTCCAAAAGGGAGGTGACCAAGTTTGAGGGCATGTAAATGTCTTTTTTCATATTGTTTTTCATTCATGCTTAATGGTTCTACTCTAACCATATCTTTTAGAATAAAGACTGCCCATGTTTCATTATGAAATGGTAAAATATCTTCCTTTTTTTCAAAATAAATTATGGCTTCTTGCCATAAGTCTTTGGTTTGCATAGAGAATTTAATAATTTTTCCATATTTTTCAAAAGTAGCATGTACTAAAGTTGAACTTGTATTAAGTGGAATATTCTTAACTCTTATTGAATTTTCTTTATTAATGTTTCCAACTGGTGCAAGTTCTTTAGAGAAACGGATACCTTCATAATCAGGTAAGTCTGTGACAACAAGGTTATTAAGATCCTCTTCATTATCGAAGTTAGCAACAAATTTCCTTTGTTTGCCAAATCTGGTAATGTAGAGACCCACAAACCCTTTATAATTGATCAAAAATTTTTCAACAAATTTTTTTTTATTAATATTATTTTTACTTGGTATTTGATCGATTAAAATTGCTGCTCGAAAATTTGTGTATTTATTGACAACTACCCACTCTTGTGTCATCTTGTTGTCCTCCACATTTGAACCTGAATTTCCATTATCATTAAATGTGTTTGATGAGTCTTCAATAGAATGAGGTGAAATTGGTTCTTTTGTATTAATAATAGATGCATTTGTTGATGTTGCAAATGTTTGAAGTGCATTTGTTGCATTTGCATCTATCTCCATCATATTTGAATTAGAAGCTTTATTAACATCTACATTAGATTCTTTCTCATGAAAATTTGCTTTTTTTTTTGCTTGTTTTTTAGAATTTGAGTTATAATGTCTAGTCATTCGTCGTATTTATTATTATTTTATTTTTTATTTTGGTTACGCGAAAGAAATTTCTCCGTTTTTATGATCGTTATTATTATATTATTATTATATATTATTATTATTATTATATAGATATTTACAGCGCAAACACAAAAGTTCTTAGAAGACAACCAGAAATAAAATTTTTATACAAATTTGATTTCGAGAACCAAACTATCAAGAAATATAAATTCTAATTTAAACCATATACAAAAATAATAAAATTTATTTCTTTTTTTATTGTTTATTTTCTCGACTCAATTTTTACTATATATATTAGGTATTTGTCATACATGAGTACTCAAGTACTCATGAGTATCCGGATTACTCATGAGTATCCGGATACTCATGCAGATCACTCAATGAGTACAAGTACTCATGAGTAACATCCCTATTTATCCTATTGGTTTTTTTTTGGTAGGACAGATGCGAATTGATTTTTTTTTTTTTTTTTTTTGAAAAACAATTTATTTTTTGATAGAGTCCAAGGTGACAAAACGTGAGTGTTGTTGTTCGGTTCTCCTAAAGAAAACGTGTTAATAACTAACCAGAGGTACTATTTTTTATTTGTATTGATTGATATTTTTATTTTGGTTATTATAACATTTTAATTGGAATCAAAACGCAGAGCAGATCTTGCTGGGTAATTACAAGATTTTCATTGATAATATTTTGCTTTTCGTGATCGTTAATATTATTAATAATATTATTATATAATTATAATCACAGGATGTCAAGACAATACACTGTTAAAAAAGAAACAATTCAAATATGCAATGTTTGATTATTGGAAATTTACAGATGTTGAAGCACGCGCGCTACCTTGAACACATACAGTCATTCTCTCATGTATTCCTCGTGTACATAAGGCTAATCTGACCGAGTCACGCTCGATGATATGATATGCTACAGAATTCCAGGGGAGGGTTGTTTGGCCCTGGAGTTTACCAGACTGCACCAATCGTCAATGACACTTTCACTAATCTTCCAGACCAGAGATGGCTGCTGCCATGTTAGACAAAAAGTTGCCCGCAACGATCCTGCCTCTAGGGTAAGGATGGCTCTGTGACCAAGTCGCAACTCTGCTGATGAATTGTAGTGCCATGTAAATATCCAGATCCATCAAAGCAATGAGAACCTGCAATTCGTTTCAAGCACAGGGGTCACAATTCAGAGCAGGGTTGGTGACCCTGAAATTGCATTTGGACTCTGATGTTAAGAGGAAAGTTTCATAAATTCTCTGTTTCTCTGATACTAACTAACCAATTTATAATTTTGGGTAGGGTTTTTGCCCAATCAGTCTTCTGTTGTATAGATTAAAATTATTGCATGATTATATACATCCTTGTCAGCAATATGGCCAACAAGAAAAAGTTATAAAAATGGTTCGGATTTTGTTTGGTATGTTATAAATTAATCATTTTCATATTTCTGTTTCTCTTTAATTTTATCTGACCAACTGAACTTGTTATTTAAATTAAACTTTATTTTAGTGAGATCTGAACCTTGAAGAAAGATATTTAGAATTTCTTCATAAGCAAGAAATTAATGGACGAGCCTTTCTTCTCTTGACTGAGGAAAAGCTTTTAGGCCCTCCTTGTAACTTTGCTGGTGGTCCTGCTTTAATTCTTGCAGAGCAGATTAAGATATTAAAAGATAGTAAGAAGAGGGCATTTTCATCTTTCAAGACCCAGAATGATTTGAAAGAAGTTTTAAAAAATCATGGAATCGTTGATGGATACAGTATTATTAACATCCCACAATTTGAACCAGGTAAGCATTTCTTGATAAAGTCTAGCGAAATCAGATGAGTATGCTCACTATGCATTTATTCATTCTACAGTCAAGCCTCGTTTCAACGAATCTCTGGGGATGGTCATTAAAATTCATTGAAACAAAAGTTCGTTGAAACAAAATTTTAACTATTTAGTAATGATCGACACACATAATAAAAAAAAAATTTTTATTTGAAATAACCAGTAATACATGTTTGTTTTTGGTTTCTAACATGATATAATGTCACTTTTCTTTTTAATGATTTAAAAGCTTTTAATTCATTATAATCTATTTCTAAATTGTTCTGTTCAAGAAAATTATAAACAGTTTCAAAAGCATTGACTGCATCTTTTGTTGTAATATTGGGAATATTTGTATCATGTTCCGTAACTTCTTCCTCTTCTTCAACTTGTGTAAGAGAGTTAATAATCTCTTCCTCAGTTACCATTTCACTATTAGTTGACTTATCATCAATTGATACATATTCCTGTGCAGTCAATGGTGAACTGAAAGGAAATTTATTTATTAAATCTTCAATATCACTTTCTAAATTAATTACATCCTCAACTTCTTCTGCTACATTGTCTGACAATGGAAGAATGCCAGTTTTCCTCCAGCAATTATTAATGGTAATTGAGGTAACATTATCCCAAGCTTCTGCAACAAATTTTATAGCTTTTTTAATATCAAATTCTTTGGGTTTTTTACCCTCTTGTTTCTTGTCATAAATTTTAATCTTTTTTTTTTCAATAATAATTTTCGATAATTAGCCTGTAAAATGGTATAAAGGTAAGTCAAAATATAACTTTTTAATCAATTTATATCAAAATATTTATTTACAAACAAACCTTAAAAGAATGTATTATCCCAGCATCACATGGTTGTAGAAATGCAATTGTGTTTGGAGGCAAATAATGCACATTTACATTCATCAACTGCACATTATCCATTAAATTATGGGTTGGTGCATTGTCAACAAGCAATAATATGTTTCTATTGGCAATCTTCATTTTATTATCTAATTTTTTTAAATAGTCATTCCATATAGAGACTTGCATCCATGCTTTGCTATTCCAATAATATTCAACTGGTAAAGACTTTTTGTTAATATTTTTTAGTGGTCGCGGATTCTCATATTTATGGATAAATAATGGCATTAACTTTTCACTATATACCAGTTGAATTACAAGTTAATAATATTGTTACTCTATCTTTATTTTGTTTTGTACCTGAGATAGGGCCTGTAGATAATCCACGAGATGGTTCCAGTTTCCAGAAAAGACCAGTTTCATCACAATTAAAAATATCCTCTGCATGATACTCTTAAGGATATTTTTTAAGTCTTCTCTCATTATCGGAATTTGTGTAATGGGTGCACTTTGAGATTCTCCATGTTTGTTATATTCCTGAATTGAATATCTCTGCTTAAAATTATGAAGCCAACCAGATGATGCTTTGAAGCTATTATTCCCCAATAATTCCAAAAATTTTAAAGCTTTTTCTTGAATGATAGAACTTGTAATAGTTAAATTGCATTCAATTGCTTTCTCAATCCATAAAATTAAAGCCTCTTGAATATTTACAACAGGAGAAGCATGTGGTTTTTTAATTTTGCTTCATAAGAGTTTGGATCAATTTTGAGCCATTTATCAGATGTTCTCAATATATCAGTAACTTGGCCTGAACTAATTCCATATTTATCCGTCAGTTCAATATTTTTTGGTTGAGGTTTAGCTTTTTTTAATAAACAAATTTCACGTTTTTGCTCTGCAGTGATATATACCCGTTTTTTAGAAGAAGATTGAGACATTTTATCAATGATATCAAAAATTATTTATTTGGTTATTAATTATGTGAAATCAGAAGCAATTATTTATTTGTTATTAATTGTGTAGGAATTATTAATTTTAAAAAACCCAATAAAAGAAAATTTTGCTTTTATTTATACATTTTAGAAATACTCAAATGTTTGATTAAAACAATAGTAAGAATATTTTATTTGAATGTTCTTTATTTTCTTTAATTTGGGTTTGGAGAATTATCACTATTTGTGTAAAATCATTATTTAGTAAAGTGGATTTTATTTTGTTTGATTAATTAGTATTTAATCATGTGATGAAAATTTTAGATAATAATTTATTAGTAAATTGGTTTTTTTAATAATAATGTGAATTTTTCTTTATTGTTTTTTTTTCCTAGAAATTTGGATTTTGAAGAATTGTTGCGCATAAAAACTATTCATATAAAATCATTATTTAGTAAAATGGATTTTTGCTATAGTTATTATAGTAATTTGGAAAATCGGGGAAAATCACATATGCTGCATATCACGTGAATTCGTTGTACTTATATAAAAATTCCACCAAAAAAATTCGTTGTCGTTGTAACACGATATATATATAAAAATTCGTTGAAACGAAAATTTTTAATTAATAAAAAAAGGGGGACAAGACCAAAATTCGTTGAAAGTTGAAACAAGATTCGTTGAAACGAGGCTTGACTGTAATATGTTAATTCGTCAACTCTTGTCACCGCGAACTATAATAATAATCAAACTCTTGTCATAACGGATTTTTAAAAAATTTTGCTTCGCATATCACATTAACATGTAAAAACATATAAAAATCCGTTGTGGCAAGATTAGTATTAGTATTTAGTAATCTTGCCACAACGGATTCTAAATAAAATTTGTTTATGTGTACCGTTCATCCGCTGTGGCAAGGTTTGACTATATTCTGGAATTAACTACATACTGTATATGATTGAAGATATTTAATACTACTATTAATTATTTTGAATTAATAATATAATTAACAAGAATGTAGAGATAATTTTTTATTTCATTATAAATAAATAGTAAAAAAAATTTAGGAATCACGGTAATAATAATAATACTACTAATACAATACTACCAATAATAATGACCCAGGATAATGTAAGTATAATATGATAATCAGGGTTTTTCTGATAACGAAGTAGTATTACGGTCTGTTACGACCTTTAATTATAGTAATCGTAATAGTAATAGGGCTGACGGCATAATATTTTATCACCACAGAAAATCATCGTACGTTCGTACAGCGAAATTGCACAACACTGACTATAATAATAACGTATATAATACTACTACATAATAACAAGGGATTTAAATAAGCATA